GTAGACAATAGGTTTGTTTTGGTTGGGTCTGTTAGGAATGTGGAATTTCTTGAGTCAAGAAGGAGAGGTGGTAAAAATAAAGATGAAAAAGAAAAGGAGAGTGAGGGTGTGCGTAGTAATGCGAGGGGAAAAGGGAAGGAAGTGGTTGGTTCTTCACCCACTTCTGAATTGATGGTACCAGCTATCTGCGGGGTTGAACAAGCAACTGTTGAAGAAAGTGGCAAGAAGTCAGGGGGAAGTGGTTCAGGGGGGGCTGCTGAAGGGTTGGTTAATTTAAGTTCACAGGCAGATGAACCCGGTTCATCTATTGAGGAAACCCTAGCAGACCTTCTAAAGAAAGTAGGTGCCAGTTATGATCCAAAGAAAAGGAGACTTCCAATACCAAAAGCCCCCAGCACTGCAAAACCTTCCAAGAAAAGAAAGGCTTCCTCCCCAACAACAACTGAAATTCCCTTTCCAAAGGGAAGAGCTACAAGAAGTAGGGTGAAACGGAGTGAGAGTGAATTACAAAAGGCTTTGGCGGAAAGCAAGAAAAAGAGGATGGATAAAGGAAAAAGTAAGGTTGCAGAGCCCTCTGAAGTTGTTGATGTTGAGGAGGTGGAACAGGTCCATCAGGAGGAACATGCAACGATGGAGGTTCAGACCCCCAAACCCAGACCAAGACTTCTTCCAAGAAGTCTTCATCTGTGTCTAAGGCTGCTGAACCTTCATTGGCCAAGAGGACAAGGTCTGCAGTGAAAAACAAACAAGTTAGAATTTCTGAAGATGAGGAATGGAGTGGTGAAGAAGAGAGTGAGTCTGATGGTGAACAAGACAAGCTGTCCAAGTTTGGCAAAAGAAAAATTTTGAAGGGAAGATTGCTGAAAGACTTGGTAGAACCAGGAATGATTCATTTGGTGATACCCTAGCTGTTCAGGGCTGGAAGGACATGGTCCTTCAGATGGATGGAAGGCTAGCTAGGAATGAAATCATTGAATTCATGGCTTGCAGAGGTCAAAGATGGCAAAGTTACCAGCCAAGTAAAAGGAGTTCAAGTGACCTTTGATGCAGAGAAGCTGGGAGAGATTCTTGACATCCCTGCTGAGGGATATGATGACTACACTTGGCAAAGATGGCCAAGTCTGGATTCCTTTCCTCCTGCCCTTGAAATCACTAGGAGATTCTATGATGTTGAAGAAGTGAATGAGGCCAAGTTTGTGCACAAAAGTGAAATGAAGCCACAACACAAAGTCATCTTTGAGTTTGTCAACAAGTGCCTACTGCCCAGGCAAGAAAGAAGGCATAGTGCTAACTATATGGACTTAGTTCTGATGGAGTGCCTTGAAAGTGGAAGGCAAATCAACTGGCCTGCATTCATCATCAAGCTACTGGACAGGATCATCAATGGCTCCAAGGCCTATGCCACCCCCTATGGATTTATTTTGACTACTGTTCTGGATCGGTGCAAGGTGCCTCTGAAGAAGTGGGAAATGGCCACAAGCAAGGACTATTTTGGCATTAATACCCTGCTTGCTTGTGACTATCTAGTCAATGCCATTCCAAATGAACCTGGTTCATCCAAGAAGGTACCTATCAACAGTAAAGTCAGGGCTCTAGTTCAGGAAAGTGAGGCCAAGGATGCTGAGATAGCTAGGCTGAAGGCTCGCAGAGGTTGAATCTGAGAGGGATGCTCTCAGAACTGAGCTTACCAAGGAAAAGGAGAAGAATGATGGGATTATTCACAATATGCTGAATCTTCTACAAGCCCAAAACCAACCCTCTAGCTCCCCCAAGCCTTAGGAATTCTAGCCTTTATCTCCTGAACCTGTCTAGTACCACCAGTGACCCAGATTAGAGATTTCTTTTTCTTTTTGCTCATGTTTTGAATATTTTGTTTTCTGTTTGTGGATTGTGGTAGCGACATATCTTCTATCAATGATATCTACTGTTTTGCTCTTGGTGACTGTTAATATTTCATTGATAGTTTAAATATGTTTGCCTGATTACTGATGATTGATCCATGATTGCACTTGAAGTTGCCCCGGTGGCCATGAGTACTTATTAAATTCTGGAAATCACACTTTGTTTATGCAACTTTTTGATGATGCCAAAAGGGGGAAGATATATTGTGCTTTACATATTCTGAATAAGTGATGTTTATAACCTAATTAACCTGGTCCTTCATGATAAGTGAATTTTTCTAAACTTTGTATTGATGAATAAGCTGAGTTCTAACAGGGCCTAAGTGAGTGATAAGCACAGAGTTTGTCATCATCAAAAAGAGGTAATTAGTTGGCCCAAGTAAAGGTGAAGTTTTGAAGACTGACAAATGAAGACTGACAAAGAAACTCAGACATGGACCAGGTTCATCTTGTGAAGCACAGTTGTTATCAACCCAAACATGTGAGATGCACGTGAAGGAGATACACCTAACTTATCAGAAGTAATATCTACTGATCATGATCGAAAAGGTTGCATATTGGATAAGGAGAAAGACTCCTTACACAAAGAGAACACGGTTTAGGAAAAGGATAGAGTTAGAGTATGAGATAAACTAGAACTCTTCCACTATGGAAGAGTAGCGTCTGTATCCTAGTCAATCTCTAATTGCTAACTCCTTAAATATTAGCGTTGTTCTCTTTTGCAGTTAATGTACATAAGCAGAAGTTAAACGTGAATCGAGAGCAAAATAGCGAGCCAATTTTGCAAGCAATTTATGTGTGATTCAAGCGTGCAATCCTAAAGCTACTTGAACCAGATAGAAGAACCAGTTCCAAGTGTCTATCTTTATTCTAGTTCAATTGTAGTAGGTGATTTTACATTGTACCTTTCAGCTTATTTAGAAGAAATTGTATTAGGTACTTAGAGTTTTCAAGTTAGAGTTAACTTGAAGTTGTCGCAACAGTTGAGGCTGTGTGCCACAACGGGATTAGAGTTAATCCTAGGTTTACAAAAGAGTTTTTGTAAATGCAGTTTTTGGCTCAGTGATTTTAGTGGAGAGTTTGGGAAAATCCTACGAGAAAGTAGGTCATGGTTTTTTCACCTTTTGAGCCAGGTGTTTTCCACGTAAAATCTCTGTGTTCTTTATTTTTGTACTTACTATTCCGCAACAGTAGTAGTTGGAACACATAGAAGAACCAGGTCCTTCTATAATCAAGTTAAGCGAAAATTGGGCACCACACAAATCACCCTCCCCCCCCCCCCCTCTTGTGTGGTATTGAAGTATAAAACATCAATAAGGAAAAGCTTGTATATGTACGTAGAGAGCTGAGCCGGGCACACATTGTAAAAACGGCAAAAATCCTCCGCCAAGGAAGGAGAGGAAGTGTGTAGCCAACAACGAACGGGTACGCGTAAAATGCGCAATACCCTGGGCAATGTATTTGCACTACATCACTACCCGCGGGGATGATTTCAACGTGGGCCGGGATTCGCCACTTAGCCCTAAATGCAGCAATCGCTGCCGCATCCATCGCAGAAACGACGGGTTCAGGTTCACCCTCAGGTGGGTTCTTGAAGACTGACCTAGCCTTCCCCGAACGTGGAATTATCTCATCCACGGTGGGGAAGTTCTCATCTTCTATCAAGGCTGCCCCTTCTTCATGAGGAGGTGCGTCCACAGCCAACGTTACAGGATCAGAGGAAACACTAGCCATTTTTCTGATTGTATGCGAAAAGGAAATGCAAAGATGAAGGAGATGACAATAGCAAAAGATACTGAAGAGAGAGAGAAAACACAGAAGCTGGAAACTTGAAGAAGGAAAAACTCAGGTTTCGAAGGTTCTAAAAATGCAACAATTCAAATGAGGAGTGCCTATCCCTATTTATAAGAATGTGGGCACCCCAATCGAGAATGCCCAAACGCCGCCTCATTAGTTTCAAAATGGAAGAGGCGCAGGAAACGATGTAACGTATTGGGAACATGCGCCATAATGATGCATGATGAAATGATGTCATTTCAAACTGACGTAACGGTCAGGTGTGGCTCTTGAGTGCCACGTCACCACCTCGCCATAAAGGGTTACTCCTCGGCCAATATGCTCAGATTTCTCAAAAATTGCAACTGGCAAAGTCCGCCCACCGAGCTCGTCCAAAAACAACCCCGACGGGCGGAGGGACTAACTGTATGGGTCAAAATCTAATCTAATCGAATGGACCTCACCTGAAATAGGGAAATCAAGAATAAATTAGGCCGAGGTCATGCTTAAGAAGCAACATTGGCGAGCCGAGCAGCGAATGTCGAGGTCGAGCACTCAGATCGGCCAAAACGGCTAGTTTAGCAATAAGATATTTCCAAAGAATATTCAGAGGAATATTCTCTGTATTTTGTACTTTCAGTAGGTAAGGGGAATGTCCCGTATAAGTAGGAATAGAGAGAGAAAGAAGGGGATCTAATTTTTCAACCTTGATAAGCTCTCTCTAGAAAAGTTGACTCTCACGTAACTACAAACTTTATCTTTATACAAGATTGGATTTACTGCGTTTTTCCGAGCTTTCCACGTCAGATCCGATAAAGTACTTGATATTCCCACGTTTGGTTATCTTACATCATTGTCAGAGGGAGAATCATCCACCTCGTTATACATTTGGGTGAATTATTCTCTTTATTTACAGCTATTGCCATTCATCATATTTATTGTTTGTCTTCAATCGCTCATTTACTCACAAGAATATCATTAAATTTCCTATGGGCTTTTAATAACTTTGAATGCGGTTTCTACGCAATTATTACCAATCAATCTTGGATCTAGAACTTATTACATGTAAATAAAATTAACCTATTATCATTTATTTAATTGGTTTAAGACTTTTTGGTCAAACAATTATCCAATCCCATTTCAAATTTTTTTTTTTTTCGTCGGAAAATAACGATCAGGGTTTTCTTTTGCAAAGACCACAGTTGATCTGATTGTAAATGTACTCAGTGCTATTTTTCGTGCGGGGCATTTTGCCTTTTGGTATGGTGAGCAGATGAATTAACGAGCAATGACATTAATTTTGTCATATAATTCAGAAATGAATAATTATCAAACACTCTAGGCTGCTTATCTACAATAATGGCCCAAATGGAACAAGAATTTCCAAGAAATAAATGTTACAGCTTAAAACATTCTTATCCAGATCAACACCTAACAATGAACAGATAGGCTTTTGTTCACTACAACCTATCAGCACTACCACTTGTCAAATTGAACAACATCAAAAACTAGAATGTGTGTCAAATCTATAAGCTACTTTGTCCATCAATACCCTCACTTCAACATTTGTTTAAAGGAAGAAAATGTGTGTCAAAGACATAAGAACAACACCATGTAGCATGAACTTGGAAGCGCGAAGAGCAGTGCCACCATCAGCTAGGATGTGCTCAGCAACATTGAAGAAACCTGTCGCCACATTGTACAATGAGTTCAACTTCTATAGTAAAACAATTTTTACACTCAAGTCATCTAGAAGATAACTTCAGGTATAAGAGGTGGGATTAGTAATCTGACAAATTACCTGCTACAACAAGTTAAAAATATATTGATAAAATCCTTTCAGAATTAGGTTAGTATATCATTTAGTATTGCCTAATATTCTTCTCAAGAATTTTGCTTGTGATACTAGAGAAACTACAGGACATTTTTGTATAGTAAAGTATACGGACTGGAGAAAGTTTAACCTCTTCTAGGGCCATAACTACATCCTTCCTTGATAGTCTCTTCGACCACCCTAATGGTGGCCTTATTATAGAATCTGAAGTTTGACAGTATATTTCCAAGACAATTTAGCACAAGGTGTGTCTCCTTCAAGCATGGTCCGCTGCAATATTGATCGGTATATTCAGGTGGTACATTGAGATCCCCTGTCTCAGTCAGTCTATAAGCCTCCTCACAACTACTGTATATCTGCAGCTACCATCATTTGAAGTAAGTTACCATCATTCAAAATACAACAACAACGACAAGTCAACAACATACCCAGTAAAATCCTACTAGTGGGGTCTGGGGAGGGTAGGATGTACGCAGACCCTACCCCTCCGGAAGGGTAGAGAGGCTGTTTCTGGGAGACCCTCGGCTCAACAGAAGAGATAAATATATACATCATTCAAAATGTATTCCATATATATATATATATATATATATATATATATATATATATATATATATATATATATATATGTACTGTTTCCAACTATAAATTCACGTATATAAGCGGTTCCTTCTTGCTTAATTGCAACATAGGCAAAGATTAAGTGAGAACATTGATGTCTAAGAATTACTTACCTGCTTATCGCTGAAACATCGCAAAGCTTTAGAGAAAAGATAGCCAGGTTGAGCATCAGCTGTGCCACCCCCATATTCATGAGGATAATCTCCGTTTTGCGATGAATATCCTCCATTTGTTCCTCCATAATTTGGCAGATATTCATTTTCAAGTACTCCTGCAGCTGCGGTTTGAGTCCCATAATCATCTGCTTTCCCTGTCAAGAACAATTTGCATTCACATAAACTGTCAGAAGATTTAACATTAGAACAAGAAGAAAAGTAGAAAGCATATTTCACCTTGTGTGAACGAGAAAAACAAGATGCAAGTCACGGCTAAAGCTTGAAGAGAATACTTCATGTTAATAGATTCCGGAAAGTGAATAATTTCTTCAAGATTTAAAACAACAAAATTTTGGGGAATGTTCTACATTGAGGATGGTTGTAGATTTTATATTTGAAAAATTCAATTATGGTATGGAATTATAAGGAAGCTTGTAACAGAAGAATCTACAATAGTCAAGTAAAACAAGAGAAATTTCATGGGGAAAAGTAAAAGAAATGGGTGATCTGCTCGATGGAAACTTAAAATATTGGATGGTCTAAAAAGCAGAATGCAGCTGAACTGCAACGGCCATTACTTGCTTGAGGTCTTTTGCATTAGAAATCAAACCTAAAAGATCCATTCTTGTGCTGGAAATTACCGTCTCCAATTTTCTAGAGTTATATTGGATGGTAGTGCCGTTCGTTGACCAACTCACGCCATGAAGGCATTTTTAAAATTTAAAAAAAAAAAAAGAAAGCAAAAACCCACAAAGATCTCGCCCCGCCCCGCATAGTATTTTTACCCGCGTCTACCTGACCCCACATAGACCCGCGTCCACCTGCCCCGCACTGCACCGCACCAGTATTATTTTTTCATTTGGTTTATTTATTAAATTTTTAATTTTGGGTCGAATTTTCAACTTAATCAACCAAAAAACTGAAAATTATTTTTATTTCTTAGGTGTTGAATCTCAATTAAAAAAGAAAAACAGTATTAATTCTACCATTGTGATTTGGAATGAAAAGAATCCAAACGAAGCACTTTATGATGACATAACGTGTGATCATTGTAAAATATTGTTACTGTGATACTCTTTCTTAGTTTTTGAAAAAATATTATTTTCAGATCTCTAAGTAGTATTAACGTGTTAGCATTGACGAACTATATCATAAAATTATTATTAATATAATAAACAAATTGTTTGTATTTTTTTTTTACAAAGTGGATTAGCAATTTGTTGAGAAGCAAGTTTTATGGGTCATATGGTGATCACAGGAAACTCAAAATAAGAAAAAAATCCTTATACCCGCGTAAACCCGCATAGACCCGCAGCCCGCCCCGCATCAGTTTTTATGAAAAATATTTCAACCCGCACTTGCCATCCCTAACATGGAGAATATGATAACTTAAAATCTTAGTCCTAGGTCAGAAAGCAACACCCAACCTCCAGAAGCAAGCTAGTGTAGCTTTGGTGGGTAGGAATAAGGGACAGTATGAAGACCTTCATTCATTCTTTAGATCAGAATATCAAGAATTCACTTTTAAGTGTTCACATTAGCAAAATGTTACATGTGACAGATAACAAACTAATAAATCGTTAGTCCTTGTCAATTCAGTCTATACAAATTTCCAAGAGGAAACCTGCTATGGTTCCTCATTCAAGCACTAAGTAATAGAAAACATTGATACAGGGAGATGTATAGTGAACTCTTGATGATTCCTTAGCCACTAGTACTTCTCGGAAAGACAGGAACCCACAGAAATAGTGAAATAAGGTGAAAGACCAAACCCAGCTTCCATTTTGGAAATATTAAAGATGGGGCCGTGTCACTTCTTCGTGATTGTTCCTCTTACGAGTCTTCTCGGTTAAGGACCAAGACGCAGTTGAACTTCTGCCATTGTACGCTCCTTTAAACCACAAGAAGAATCTTCAACTGGCAGGAAACCATCCTAGCCTCGAAAGGCCAACTTAGAACACAATATTGATGCTTTATGACCACAGATGCTGAAATTAAAACCTTTTCAGCTAACACAGCTTTCAATGATCAAATATCTCCATTTCCTTTACGAGAAGGGGCTTAAACCACATGTCAGGAGCCTATATTGCTAGCCAGCTTATGTTTCGCCCTCTTTACATGGTTGAAGTAGTCAAGAAAAACTTCTTTCATAGAAGCTGCATGAGCACAAAGACTTAAACCAGTCATGAGTACAGTTCACTCCATCTAGACGAGAACAGAGATGAAAAGGAAGAAAAGATTCATCATCATGTATGGAGGCAGAACAAAAACCTTTTATAAATTAACACCTAGGTTTCATGTATAAGATATAAACAAGGGCTCCATCTTCGCATTCACAGTGAAGCATCCATAGTAAGTATTGGTTTGGTATTGATAAGAACGAGCCAGTAACTCCTTTTTCCTTCACTCAGGTCCTTGATCTGAAAATCAGATTTCTTCAGATCAATTAAGCACCTCATTATTATTCCAAATCTCACAGAAAAACGAGTGCATGTTACTTTTCTTTTAACAGCTCATTCACTTCCTGCGCATAAAAGGGTGAAAATGAACAAAAAGTTAAGTATAAAATTTTTCTTCATCCTCATTTTGAAGAAAAAGTTAGCTGAAATATCAAAAATTACCAGAATTTCGACCCCAGTAGATATAAAACAACAAGATGTCACAGAGGAGATATACAAAGTGAAACTTTCGCAATCCAAGACAAGCAAATTATAAAGGAGATATACAAAGTGAAACTTTCGCAATCCAGGACAAGCAAATTATAATACAAACCAGCTTAAACAGCAATCCAACCAGATATAAACATCAAGATTTCTATAGAGAGATTAAGTTGCTCGGACACGGTGCGGGTGTTCGACACGGGTGCGGATCTAGAGATCGGATCCTTCAAGATGCAAATTCTACGATTCGGGGATACGGATCCTAGTAAGGATATATGTGGGGGGATCCGGCTAAAAATAATTAAAAATATAAAAATATCTCTAAATTATGAGAAATTTTGTGGAATATTTATGTATAGCTTGTAAAGTGTGGATTTCTTTTTTATTCTCAAGTTGTAGATAAGAAAAGGATTGATTTCTTAGATAAGGTATGCTATTTTATTCAAATTTATCCTAATTTTGGTTTTGATTTCTGGAACTAAATTATATATTGTCTCAAATTTTTTCGTCCGTCGTGGTCAAAGTATCCAAAATCGTTTGACCAGATCCGGTACGGATCCCATACCCACACTCATACTAGTGTCGTGTCGACACGGCTACGGCACCTAAACTGCCATGTCGGAGCAACTTAGGTTACACCTAAAATAGAGATTAGATACAAAAGGAACATAACCTTAAACTATGGAGTTTTAATCCTTCAAACATTCTACTAAACCATTTTTTCCCAAATTGTAAGGAAATTGCATAGGCTGTCTTTCTTCGTCGTGTCCATCTTCTCCTCCAATAAACCATTGCCTCTGCTACAGTTATTGGTTTTAACCCATGAAATATTAAACATGTATATTACAAACAGAAAATCCAATTCAAAGCTACAATATTGAAGGATTAGCAATAGTAGGTAAAACCGACTAAAATGCCTGCTTCTGCCAGCACGATATTAAACGCGGACAGGGGGCAAAAAATTAATTAAATGATCAAAGCATTGGTTGTTTGAACAAAGGTTCAAAAAATATGTGAAGGGTCCTCCACGCCACCCCTTCGATACAAAATCTAGAGCGTTGACGTACACTGGATGCTTCTTCGTTCATCAATTTAGGACCGGCTAAGAAGACTTATAGTCAGGAAACCTAGCTCTCAACAGCTTCTTACTAGTAGGATATAGGAATATTCAAAAAATCACGGAGTAATCTTTTTTCATTTGTTTAGACATTCACAAGAAGTAATTGAGTGAACTACTGACAGCAGTTCCACAGTCATGTCTTCGTATTTCGAAAAGGAAAAGAAAACATCATTGTAAGAAGACTCTCCATGATATTGTAATAAATATTAGTATAAAAATCATTTGTTTCGCGTATTTCTATTTGGTGTGTAAAGAAAAATTACTGTAGCACAGAATGATTGAGGCGGCTTGTTTGCTAACGGTGGTTGAGTCACCCATTCATTTTGCAATTTCTTCCAAAAAAATTGGCGTATTCAACTGATGAAATTCTTTGATATATCGGATGAAAAGAAAAATACAATGCTGAATGAGGTGATCAGCATCCTCTCCATGATTGTTATATATACAGCACCAGCTCACTGTAACTCTTGGCCTCCTTAAATTGTAGGCTGCCAAAATGGAACCTGATGCTGCACTCTATGCAAAGAAGCAACATTGTTAGGTACCTTGGACTTCCATAATGACAACTATATCGGGTTTGACCCATCCCCATTATGTAAAATGTTATAGTATGACTTCACTGAAAAGCATCTTGTGGATATACCATTCCATATTAACTTATCAGAATCTCTTTTACCGGATATTCCAAATTAACTTATCATACTCGCCAATTAGTGTTCTGTAAGAACTCTTCTACATCATTCGTTCTATAATCCTAATTGGGGTTTACTAAAAGATAAGTCAAATGATTACTGACCACTGCACTTTTAAGTAATTCAGCAATTGTAGTCCTTTAAGCTGTCATGATGGAGAACACATTAGATAACTTTCAGATGATTTCTACACCTCACAGCAAGCCCAATCCTATCTCACTGACATTCCTAACCAAAATAAAATCAACCTTAAGAAAGTCTATTCCTCACGAATATAGTCTTAAGAAGTCTAGAATTAATTTTCCATGCCAACACATCCTGAGCAGTCCTGAAATTTAGCTCTGACAGCAAAACATGACTGCTATATTTCAAAACACCTGATGACTCCACTAAGATGATTGCATATGCCATCTCTGACTAATACAACAACAAACAACAACAACAACAACCTAGTAAAATGCCACAAGTGGGGTATGGGGAGGTAGTATGTACGCAGACCTTACCCCTAACCCGAAGGCGTAGAGAGGTTGTTTCCGAAAGACCCTCGGCTCAAGATAATAAGAAAAACAAAAGGAGAGAATATTAGTTTCACCATAGAGATCATAAATTGCAGAAGAAAAATACAAGGCAGAAATGATGGCTAGTAAATAGATCTTGCATTGAAAAGAGAAAGTATTAAGACATGGCAATACCCCTAGTTATTTAGACTAAAACCTTACCACACAACGGTACAAAGTAACGCGAGACTCAACTACCTCCTAGCCTACAACCGTAATACTCGACCTCCACAACTTCCTATCAAGTGTCATGTCCTCGGAAATCTGAAGAATAATGCTGTTCATATTTCACCGAAACAAAGAAGAATAAAGCAGTTCTGTTACAAATTAAGCCCAACTTACAATTTTCCCAGTTGACAAGTTATATTAGATGCTTCAACTAACACTATAAATTAAGAACTGCTGCTTAGTAGTAATAGGTCAGACCTAATTGCATACAATAGAAACATTTAAAACAAGAGAAAATATCTCTCTACGGAATACACAGATATTTGTCTATTGAGAAAGTCTTGTGACATCTTTCTATTTTTATTCTGTCAATTAAATAGGAAAACATATGACCACGAAAGTCAACATCTGATCATCAGGAGTCATAGAGTAGCGCCTTTACTTTATACACTTGTCCATTCCTAGTCCATTAGACTGGCACTATATTATAACTAAATCCCACTTTTCCCTCTCAAGACATTTGAAAATCGTTTTCCGGAAAGGAATCAAATTTAAACTCCTGCCCGTCTAGTAATTCTTTTTGTCCTTCTTGCCTCTTTCGCATCTTTTACCATTAGGATTTTATAATTGCAAATACAGTGACCAAAGGAGCAAAGATTGGAAGAAGGTATATTTTTATTTAGAAAAACATCAAAATAATTAACAACTTAAAAATCAAACAGACATGTTTATCAAAAATAAAAGTGTATAGGGCAACAAAAGAAGTAGAAGAAAACGAGGAAAGGCTAAGAGACATAGAGGAGATTATAACACCAAACCTATAGTAACTTATCAGGAAATCAGTCATACCTATATTACATCTGGCTCCAGCCTGTTGAGTCAATAGCAATGTTATGTTCACGGTGGGCTAACGAGCAGTGTAGGTTGTCGGCTTTAAGTGATGATAATCACTCCTAAAAAAAGATACTATGAAGTAGTAACGGGTTCCACTAGCATCCCCTTTTTCCTGCACTCCCTTAAAACATCCCGAGCTTCTTCACTACAGCTTGATTGGACAATTGAATCAAAATATAATTTACATGTGGAAGCGTCAGGGATGCATCCATTTGCTTCCATTGACAAAAACAAGTTCTTAGCTTCATCAAATCTCCCCGAGTTAAATAAGGCCCTAATAAATGCACCATAAGTATGATTATTAGGGGTCAAATCCAGTGTCAACATGCTTACAAGAAGCCTTTGTGCCTCATCAATCTTATTCATCCTACAAAAACTTTGAATTAAGGCATTGAAGGAGAAAACATCTGCTTTTATTCCATCATCTTGCATTTTTCTTAATAATTTCATTGATCCACCAACATCTCCGAGGACACAGAGTGCACGAATTAAGATATTGTATGTAACAGCGTTTGGAGCAACTCCCCATTCTACCATCTCTGTGAAACAGTCTAAAGCATCGTCAATCCGATTTACTCTACAAAGGCTATCAATCAGTGAACTAAACGTGAAAATGTCTGGTCGAAAACCATGTTCCAATAGCATGACCAGTAGCTCACGTACCTTGTCAACCTTCCCTACCTTAGAATGTCCACTAATAAGAGTGTTGAAAGTCACAAGATTGGGAGCGAGACCTCTCTGAAGCATGTCTTTAAAAGCCTCTGATGCTTTCTCCATCATTTTGATTTTGCAGAAGCAATCAATGACCCGGTTATAGAAGAATGTGTTAGATACAAGACCATCCTTAAACATCTGGAACAAATATTCATTCCCCTTTTCTACTTTCCCTGCTTTGTAAAGAGCATCAACAAGTGCAAGATATATATCAATACTAACCTTCATACCTCGAAGAGTGATAAAGTCTAACATCTGACAAGTATCATCAAGCTCTAATCCTTTGACTAAACAAGTCAGTACAATGTTAATAGTAGCGTTATCCAGGACGTAACCTCTATCAATTGATATTCTTAAAAGTTGGGCTGCTTCTGTTGGCAAAAAATTAGTACTAAGGCAATGTAGCACGGAAGCAAAAGCTATATTAGGCAAGGCAGGTTCCTTCTCTAACCATCTAGATAATAATTCAAAACTCTTATCTGGTGGCATACAACGAAATACCCCATTAACCAATGATCTTACAGTAGCTTCAGTTGGAACAATATTCCTATCCTTCATTCTCCGGAAGAGCTCAAAAGCCTCGTCCACCCTTCTAGCATTACAAAACCCATCAACCAAAATGGTGTAAGTAAACACATTGGGAGAGTATCCCGCTCCTTCCATCTGTTTAACCAACCGAATCGCTTCCTCCACAACCCCAACCTTACAAACTCCATGAATGAGAATATTATACGTAAACCTATCCGGATTACAATTATCCACCTGCATTTGCTGAAACTTTAGATAAGCTAAGTCAAGTGAATTGGACTTGACCAACGCATCGATCACTGCATTATACAACCTAGTACTAGGAGCGACTCCCAAATAAGAAGCCTGCTCCAAAATGTCAGCACAGTACTTTCCCAAGCCTAATCTCCCCCAACTACCAATCAGAACACAAAGCAAATCCACAGTAATTAAATTTCCAGAGTTTCTGATATCCTGAACTAGCTCAGCTGACAACAAAAGGGGACCTTTTCTATACAGTACATTACCTAAGACCCCCTTAACTGATTGATTCTTGGCAAAAGAGGGACAAATATTCGTAATCCAGATGTAAAATCTAAAAGGGTGTAATGGATTTTCTTGATTATGCAGAATACTAACAACTGCTTGCTGATTAAGAGTAACCCTCTTGGCTTTATACTCATGGTTTAGCAATAAATACCAGTCATTTCTTGCAAGAATCTGAGTAAAATACCCGTAATCAATACCACTTCCTTGAAAGTTTCGTTTTTTAGCTGCAATTGAAGTGTTGGAACGCCAGTTCAATGAAGACTTACCGGGTGAAGTTTGTTGAGTGGTGGTGCTGCTAGTGGTCGCAACAGAGTCAAGATTTGAGGGTTTTGGAGTAATGGGTCTGAGGGAATTGTGGTTTTGTTTAGAGAGATTTGTGAAAGCAGGTGAAGAAGCCCTTGAAGCTAGAGAGGAGAACCCTTTCATTCCCCTTTGGAAATCACAGAGTTCAGTTCTGTATGCGACTATGTAGAGAGAACCCTCCGACTTGAATTAAAAAAAGAGCAACTTCTTTTAGTAGACTTTGTTTTTTCCTTCTTTTTTTACACAATAAAGCTTGTGTGTGTCAAGAACTAAAAAGTAAAACTGATTAACAACCCGTTTGGCCAAGCTGTAAAAAATTTCAAAAGTACTTTTTTTCAAAAGTGATTTTCTCAAAAGTACTTTTGGTGAGAAGCCGTTTGTGTTTGGCTAATTAGTTTGAAAAGCACTTCTGAGCAGCAATTAGTATTTGGCCAAGCTTTAAAAAACTGCTTCTAAGTGTATTTTTCTCAAAAGTGCTTCTCAAAAAAGTGCTTTTGGAGAGAAGCTACTTTTTTCTGCTTCTCCTCAAAAGCACTTTTTTTCCTTCCAAAAACTTGGCCAAACACTTCAATTTTTGGCCAAAAATGCTTTTGGCCAAAAAAAAGCACTTCTGGCCAAAAAGAAGCTTGGCCAAACAGGCTATAAATGGAGTGGAGACAAAATTATAAATACAAAAATGTTGGGGCTTTTAATTAATTTTTTGGCAAGATACATAAATTTAGTCAATGTTCCTCAACTAGACATAGGTGTGTCTCGTGGATATCTGGATCCAGTAGATGTTACGATCCAAAATCTTACAAAGGTTGTGATGGCGCCTAACCCACCGCTTGCTAGGCAAGCCAACACTCAACAATAATAATAGAGTCCAATTATATAAGTCATTAAATGATTCATGATATAAACAATAACGCGGAATAAATCATAAATCAATATCAAAAGTACATAATCAATGACAGGGTCTAAACACGACTACAACCATCTAACAAACGCCTAAAACCAAATGTCACATCATCATGAGCATCTAATAAGAGTAACTAGTTTCAACTGAACAACAATAACATTTGTCAGAAAAGAAATACATAGACAATAGATATTTAGGGAAGAAGGACTCCATGTTAAGCGGATCGGATCAAGTAAAGCAGCTCACCACGAAGTTTTTAATAAAATACTCCTACTCAGCTCGATTGGTACCGCTAATACCAATCTCAGAACCTGTCCAAAAATGTGCAGAAGTATAATATGAGTATAAAACTACGGTGCACAGTAAGTATCAAGTCTAGCATCGAAGAAGTAGCGATGAGGGGTCAATATCAACACTTACTAACAAATCAAATAAGCACATAAAAGATAATTAGAACATGGAATAAAGCATGATATCATCAATCAAGTCCATTAGTAGAACACAGTATATTTGAAATGTAGACATACTTTTCAGATAAAGAGATAAAATACAATATCAACTATCTCAATTCTTTTCATAATCATGATATGAATTAATCAATATTCATAAATATATCCAAGAGCCACTGCATGAGTCTATGCTACCAATGCATGCTTATGATCCAATACCAAAACCTCATTGCACAAAATCATATATCTGACATTAGTCAACTGTCCAAACTAGCACCAACCTGGGTACCTGCGCTCATAGAGCCCAAAGTAACATGGGTAATCACCTGACTCCGGAGATATGGATCCATATCCAAGCACTGTTATGGGTGCAGCCCGATCCACTAATAATAATATCGTTGTAGCATGCAACCCGATCCATACATTATACCATTGTAGGGTGCAACCCGACCCAACCGCAATATTATCAATATTCGTTCACCATGTACTTGGTGCCAAAATTCTCATCATTTCACAATATCCAACTCTTCAACTCATGCACATTTATATAAAATAATATAATAAGTACCGAACATAATAATAAAGATGCGGATAAAAGCCCATACGGCTAAAAGATGGTTATAACTAATAAGGTAGTTCAATTTATCTCAACAGTTCAGTAAGCAGTTTTTATCATTCAAAAAACTTTTCATAATATTTAACATGAAGAAATTAAGCCATGTAACCACCAATCTTGATCAAATAAAACAAGCGTACGACTAAAGCTTAATTAAAAAAACTCAACATGAAAAAATAATCCTTTATGCTCAATTCAACAAGTCATAATCTTAAACATGTTTCTAAGCATAATTACGAGTCATCATATAGTCATAAAATCAATAAAAACATGGATAACATGGTCACATAGTCCAAACAAGGCATAACCTTAAGCTAAACTCTATTGTATATGGTCACATAGTCCAAACAACGCATCAACTCACATAAATGTGGGCTCCTAAATTAAGTAACAAGTAGCAAATAGATCACCCACGTGGAGAATTCCCTCTTACAAGGATAGACAAAAGATTTACCGCCTCCCAACAAACTTCAATCAACAATAATCGTGTTTCCTTTCAAATCCAACACCAACGACTCAAATTTAGTTAAACATTACTTAATGAGTCAATACAAGCCTTAGGAATTGATTTCATATAAAAAGAATCAATATTTAACCCAAATCAAAAGGTCTATAAAAAGTCAACTTCGAGCTCCAGGCCCGAAATTCGAAATCGATCATAGATATTTTTCGCTCATAATCCCATGATTCAAAATATAAAATTAAATTTTAAATCGAGGCCCAATTTTAAAATCAAACCCCCAACATCACTCTCTTAAGTTCATATCAAAAATTCAACTTTTACACTTTTGATGGATTAAAATCCATGTAGATTCATGAAATATAATCACAAATGAGTAGAATCACTTACCCTCTTGCCTTGTATGAAAATCTCCTTGCAAAGTCGCCCCCCCCCCCCCCCTCCCCCCTCCAAGTCTAGGGGTCAAAATATAAGAGAATGGGCACAATCCCAAAATAACAATTTAAAATAGTCTGCCCCGGTATACCCCTCGCAATCACGACCCACTCCCTTGCAATCGCTAAACACAAAATACACCCGCCTGGAAAAACCTCATCACGAACGCAATGACCAACGGACCACCCTTCTACTCGAATGCGATCTTCCCATTGTGAATGTGTAGGCCAAGCCTCTAGCTTGCCTCGACCTCTATGCAAACGTGAGCTACTCCATGATATCGCATTGACCAACTCCCCTACAATTTGCGAATGTGAACACACCCCTGTGAAAGCGAAGCGCAAAGCTCCCATATCCCAAAACATTCTACGCGGTCGCGATGCACCTCCCGTGATCGTGAAGCTCATCAGAGACACCAGAAACCAGTAGTGCAAGTTTATCCGAAATGGTCCGAAATCACCTGAAACTTGCTCGAGCCCTATGGAACCCCATCAATCGTACCAACAAGTCCAAATACCTTATTCAAGATTATTTCAAGTCCATTAGGACATATCCATGATCTCAAAACCATAATCGAAGTATGGTAATACCGAAGTCAATTTTCGATAAAACCTATAAACTCTCCAATTCTTTAAATTTCTAACTTTCGATACTTAGAGTCAAAATCTTCTAGGAAAGTCTAAAACCAAATTCGAACATACGCCCAAGTCCAAAATCATCGTGTGAACCTATTGAAAACATCAAACCTCGATTCCTAAGTCGTTCACTCAAAAGTAAAACTTTGGTTAACTCTTCTAACTTAAATGTTACACCTCACAGTATTACGTCGATGTTACACCTCGTAGTATTGTACGTTGGATTTGTCGTAAGATAATTGACATCAGTTCAAGGACAAGATTATTTTGAGGTATAAGTATTATGATATTTATAACAAGTGATAAGTAAAGTCGTAAAGTTCAGAGGGTACACGAGTGGAAAAAAATGAGTTTCGACGAAGTTTGGCATTTTGAGGTAAAATACGGTCCAAGCTATAATTCCTCGTATTTATGGACTAATGTCATACAAGGTACCACATGAACATGATAGTAAGGTATATAAAGTGTGTTAAAAGTGATTAGTATTTTGAGTAATTTGAGATAATTCTTAATTATGTGGGTAATTGGTTAATTATTGATTTAGTGGGATATTAACAAGTTAATTAAGAAATTGATGGATAATTATTGGGGTGGGAGCATCACCAATGTGGCATCAAGGAGTCTAATTGTTAAGATCAAACAATGACTCCTTGGCTTAGATGGCTAGGTGGCACATTTAGGGAAGGTTGGCAAGGGAATCCTTATCAAGTGGGGACCACAACCACATTGATAAAAGGCCTCCCTAATTCATTAAAGGGAGATGCATATGTTTGTGAAGTAACGGATGAAATCCACAAAATTCATACGAGACTACATAATGTAATAGCAACGAGATTTGCAATTCTAAGGGAGTCCGGTATAACTTTTCTCAAGAATATCACATGGATTTTTTCCTACTTCGATCTCACCGTTAAGTGTCTTGTCGCGATTGATATGTGTTAGAGGGGTTATCAAGAGAATCGCCTCAGGTATGTTAAGTCTATCCCTTCTTTCTTTTTGTCATGTTCCATATGATACACACGAAACGAGAAAACACGCAACTTTCACAAATGACTCTATTCTTAAAAGTACTAGGGGTTCTCATGTTCTTGATTCCTCATATGTCTTATTATTATATCGTCCGTTCATGGGTCTTAGAAAATACTTAAGTTGATAAAGTTTATTTCGTGACATTAATCAAAGGCGTAATGATCTTATGACATACCGAGAAGTCTTATTAACTCACTTCTTATGCATTGCGTTCAGTTATACATGCACATTGACCTATGACCAGATGGCGTTATATACGCCCATATACATACATACATACATATATATATATATATATGTGTGTGTGTGTGTGTGTGTGTGTGTGTGTGTGTGTGGTATGAGGAAAGGTTATGACGTTATATACGCACCACCACCTGATCAGCTGGTATACGTTGATGATTTTGCCCACAGTGGCTGAGATGATATGATGAGATGCCCTCAGAGGCTTGATGATATTTTCTACGTGTTTACCTCGAAATACGAGTAACAATTAAACTTGTTTGTGGTTTTAAAGATACGCGATTTAATTCAATACTAGTTAACAACTAAGAAATCAAACGTATAAATTAAAGAAGTAAGTTGAATCAAACTAGTGCTTAAGCAAGTCTTGACCTCGAGTTATGATGGCCTCGAGGTTGGTCAACAAGAGCAGTAAA